TAATAACATACAGTAATAATATAATTCGGTTGAAGGGCAGCCATTTAGGCATCAATGAGTAATTCTGAGAAAATCATATACTTTAGCTCACCTGCATTTTCAGCACTGAAGAAAATGCTAAAGTCATACATTTTGTTGTGTACCATTGCTTCATGCTTCATAGTGATTTTTCTTAAGATCAGTTTTTGTATGCCTGGAAACACTTTGATTGCCCTGCTCCACTTGTGATGTTTCCACGCTTTGCTATTTCAACAGTCTTGGCCTTAATCTTCAGTCTGACCTACACCCTGAAGGCGAAGTTTAAAAGATGTGCTTTGGCAGTTTGAGGAATATTCTTATTAGCTTTCTTGCCTCAAGTTAAAGGGGAACTCTTACGTTCATTTCTTGTCCCATGTGTTTTATTATTGGACTTTTTGCATGATTCATAGTTCAAATTCTCATTTATGTGGCATTGGTCATTGGTGCAGCCCCTCAGTTGATCTGTTAGCTAAAATAGACTGTTTTAGCTCTGTGTTCACAGCTAGAGCTTTGTGCCCAAGATGACCATATTAAAGATATCCCCTCTCAATGACTTCATGCAGAATGAGAAGTAAAAAAAAAAAACACTGTGAAATATTTGCAGTAGTCTGAAAAACTGAGTTTTTGTGTCACATATTACACATATGCTGACCTTTGAAACTTTGCCCACCTTTATCATCAGCATCCAACTTTGCAACAATATGACAAATAACTAGGAAAAGCTTAATAAGTCTCCTTTAAATAAATAAAAACATACAGTGCTTTTCTTTTTTGTCTTAAATATGAAGCTACCCAGGTTGCAAGAAGTATCTGGGTCTATTCTGTGAGAGGTCAAGTAGTTTCTGGTGTGCATGAGGCACCCACTGTGTGGCACTCCAGTTTTGCTAATATGATCTGGCCTTGAGTAAGCAGTAGGGCAGCTCATTACTTTTTCCACTTTGGCCCTGTGTGGATGAGGAAATCCTCATCCAATATAAAGGCCATACACACTTTCAGTCTTATTGCACAGTGGTGTGGAGGCTCCACCACATTAAGTGAAGTTCCAAAACAGCTAGCCTTGCATGGTAGTGGGTTATAAAGCCTTCCAGCACTAAGTTTGAATTGATGCAGCTGCACCTGTTTGTGCTACAGAGAGGAAATGCCAAAAACAAAACACATTTCCTGATGGTTACTTCAGAAGGACTGCCTCAAGAATAAAGTAAACAAAATAGTTTTCATAAACAAACTAAAAAATTAAAATACATGAAAAAGGATAAATTTATACTTAATAACAATAAATGTAAATGTTCTTCCATAGCCAGAAAACCAAGTTATACTTCTAAATTCATAGCCTGCACTTCTGCAGCATTTTTTATTGTTGCGCTATTGCTTATAATACCAACAAATGTGAAAAGAATGAAGACAAGTGAGAGCATCTCAGAAAATGCGTTACTGTCTGAGTGCAGTGGAGATGGAGCCGATGTGCTTTCCAGCAAGTGATACATGGAGGGCGTGGTGCAGTACATCAGTCCATCTGACAGCAGTATAAATCAGTGCAGACTCAGATCAGAAGTTCCTGTTTCCAATGGAGAAAGTTTCGGGCACCACGAGGCTCACCGCTGTGTTTCTGTTCCCCGTGCTTTATTGAAAACCCTGAGCTCTTGTCCTTGCCCACAAAATTCTACATTTGAGCTTGTTTTTTGTTATTTTTTTTTAACACAGAGAATGCTATTGTGTACCACTAACTAATAATACTACGTATTGAATTAAAGAACACAAAATAAAGGCGTCAATTAACGGAATTAATTAAAAACAAATGATGTTATTGCAGCTCAAAAATACACGCAAGTACACAATGCCTTCTGAAAAAAACAAACGAACAAAAAACTACAGCCTGTATGAATTTGTTTAATTAATTAATACATTTTTTAAGCAGTTTGAGAGGTGTTGATTTCTTCAACTCAAACTAGAACCAGGGCTGCTGGTTTCCCCAGCTAAGGAGAAGGCAAGCAAATTGTACGATGGCATATTTCTTTTGATATGAAAGTAAATAAGCGTATTCTCCAAAATGCCAAACTACTCCTTCAACACCTTTTTAGCCATAGGAGCTAGCCTAAAGACAGGGAGATTCGGCTAGATGCCTCGGAGTTTGAAGTTTAAAATCATGGTTTCTGGTAGCATGCTTTTGGTACGATTTGAAAGAAACCAGACTTGGTTTGGGAAGTTTTCTTAAACCAAGTATATGCTTCTTGTTTTTTTTTTGGTTTTTTTTAATTTAAAATCGCAAAAAAATTGAGAAGAAAAAGTATCACATCATGCTTATTTTGCATTTATTACAATTTTTTAAAAACATTTTTCTTATTATTGTGGCGATTTTAAAAGCTCGATAAAATTGTCGGCATCATTGCTTTTTTGTATCTTACAGGAAAGTATGTGTTTTTCTTTGAGTTACTTATTGTTACTCTAGATTATTAGAAAACAAGTGGGTTAGAAATAAAAGTGATACTGATGCATATTTTGTACTTTAAGAACCACTGCAGTATTTCCAGCTGTGACTGTTCTTGCAAATCGGTGCAAAAGACAAAATAATTTACACAGAATAATTAAATTAATAAAGATATTTTAAGCACAGATGGAAAAAAAAAATCTGAACTGGGTTCTTTATATAAAGGGTTTATGATATGTAGGGATCGACATAGACTGTGCGCTCATTTCATAATCTTCATCTAAGTAAACTGATCCTTTATAATCTGATACTGAAATTCAGAGAGCTCTCTGGGTTTCATCCCTCCTCTATCATAGTTTTTATCACAGATTCTAAATCACTGACCTAAATGTCCGTTACAGGCCCCTCGTCTCACATTTACCTTTTGATTTCAGCTCAAAGATGAAGATGGAAAAGATGAAAGATGTGTGCTTTTGTTCTGAGTTTCCTTATGGTTCTGCACTTCCTTTCTCTAGGCACATCGTGGTTTGTGGTCACATAACACTTGAAAGTGTATCCAACTTTCTAAAAGACTTCCTACACAAGGACAGGGATGATGTCAATGTAGAAATTGTTTTTCTCCATAAGTAAGTACAAAACTTTGTGCAAATGTCATTGTTTAAGAGGAAAAAACTCAACTTTAGGAGATTAGAGAGTTCTCTGATTTAAGAGTGTTTGTTTTTTGTCTCTCAGTATTTCCCCTAATCTTGAGCTGGAAGCCTTGTTCAAGCGCCACTTCACCCAGGTAGAGTTTTACCAAGGATCTGTCCTAAATCCACATGACCTGGCCAGAGTCAAGGTACCTGACTGTCAATACTTCTTCCTCTGTAATACTGTCGGTTATCGTCTGACTGAATACTTGATGTGATTGTTCATTTTTGTCTTTGCTATTTGCAATTTTGTTTTAGATTGAATCAGCTGACGCCTGCTTGATCTTAGCCAACAAATACTGTGCGGACCCCGATGCTGAGGATGCATCCAACATCATGAGGTACTGCATAACCAAATCATGATTTATGTTTTCCTGCTTTCATTGTTTATTCAATTTGTTTTATGAACAATCACATTCAGCTGGATTCTGAGAGAAAAAGACATTTTCAGAGTGGATTAAGTCGTAGTTTTGGATGTGGAAACTGCACTTATTTAATGGGTTTAAGGGATTATCAAGTGGATAATATATGAGAGTACAATATATTTTAAAAGTGATGGGAACAGTCTGTTTTAGGGCGAGGCAAATAAAATTTGGTTAATAAAATTGTATTATTAATAGCTCTGTTCGATAATGAAGTCTGAGGATTGGAGGTTTTCCACTGAAGATTAAATTGCTCAGCTATAAAAAGTCGGAGAGTCATTATGTGACATTTCTTTTCTATCTAAAAGGGTTAAGACGTTTAAAATGTGCTGCAGAAATCATCACAGTTTGATTCTAATCTAAACACTGTGTGATTAATACATAATCATTATAGTAGAGCCGTCTTGTCTGTCTGTGTCACAAATGTCCACTAGGACTCAAAGGAAATGATTTGTATTTTGTGGTCAAACAGTCAAAGGTCCCCTTCTCCTTGAGCTCTATGGTGGCCAATCCGTGTATTAAAATGATGTCTCGTGCCGGACCAAGTTTTGGGCACGCAACATTGCTGAATGTAGACGCAACCAAGTGAAGCAACCCCAAATCACAACACTGTCCCCACAGGCGTGTACGGTAGACATACAGAAGGTGTTGGCAGAAGGACCCAAATGCAGGACTCGATGTGGCTCTTAATAAATAACAAAAACAACTTTTATTTAAGTGGAGTAAGGAAAGTCTAGAAGGAAAGAGAATAAACGAATCCAAAAATTCACTGAAAGAATTCTACTGAAAGAAAACAGGAAGACCTAAAACATAGACTTAACAGCAAGAAACAAAAGGACACAGTGACAGTGGGATGATGACTCAAGGAATTAAATATAAACTATAACTATAACCAGAAACAGAAACTAGATTAAAAGGCATTAAAGATAAAACTAAACTGAGAATCTAGTCATAAAGAAAATAACCAGATATTATGTGCTACTCAAAGGAAAACAACATTGAAAAAGAACTCGAAACACAATAAATATATGAATCCAAATATTAATGCAAAAGCTCCAAATTCAAAAGGCAAAAAAACCCTAGGACACTAGGCATGTTAGGATCACCCCTTTTTTCCACCTCTCTTCTTTCTCTGATAGGCTGATCATCCTGAAACATGGTAAATGACCTTTTTCCATTGCTCCAGAGTCCAACAATCATCCTCACTGATTAATGTTTTTTAAAGGCTACTCAGCTGTTTAGTCCCAATGTCTCTGAGTGAATTCTCTTCACTTTGCTATTTTCACTATTAAACCTACCCGTGAGATTTACTGTTGTTTTCTTACCATTTGATTTCACCAGATGTTTGTTTCCCTTATCAAGATCAAGTAGATAAAGTTTTGGGGTTTCTTTTGTTTTCCAACCACATTTCTTCCTTAAAGCTGATGGTATATTTGATAATGCATTGGACCGTTCTTAACCCACATTTAGTTAGGCTAATAATGCGGTTTAGGAAAAGAGAAACTACTCACAACTGTGGTTAAATAACTTGCTGCCAGCCAAAAACTGACTTTTTTTTTGTGTGCTTGGGCAGTGTATGACTGCACACAAATGTCTAAGAGTGACATTTTATATCCAAATGTGTAAAGGTCAACTTCCCTATGACTTCAAAAAAAACCCTCTTGCCGTTATCCAGTGAGAGATTCTGTATGTACGTCTCATTTGGTTGAATAGTAATTTGAAATTGTTAACAATGGTACTTTTTCCAGGTTGATTTATTTCTTTTTTTGGTAGAAGTTGTAGGATTGTAAATTCGGAGAACAGGCTGAACTGGTAATGGTCAAATTGACATCAGTTCTTCCCAGACAGAGAGAAAGTCAGCATTTTGTAGCTGGATCTAGTAATATGTTACTATGCAACTCTCTTGTTCTATTTTCTTGAGCCTTTAGTTTAAAATATTAAACTATAAAATAAAATGCAAACTTAAAATTGTTAAAAGCATACAGTCGACTACGATACTTAATTTCTATAAAAGGAGAGTGAATCAGATTTTTTTTAAAAATCTGTGTAACTTTTGAAAGTGCTGCAGTTATTCTTATATTGCTTTCTTTTTGTCCTTTATCAGAGTAATATCTATCAAGAACTACCACCCAAAGATCAGGATAATCACTCAAATGTTGCAGTACCACAATAAGGTTTGTATTAATCAACTATAAAGCCTGCTGGAGTCACTTAGTTACTCTGTTATAGTCAGTTATGTTTCAGTATATGTTGAAAAGATCTCACCGCTGAATCATTTGTCTGTCTTAGTTTCTAACAGCATGCACCTTGTAGCCTGACTTCCTTTTCCTCTTCCCCTCAGGCCCACCTTTTGAACATCCCAAGCTGGAACTGGAAGGAGGGAGATGACGCCATTTGCCTTGCAGAACTCAAGCTCGGGTTCATCGCCCAGAGCTGCCTGGCTCAGGGCCTCTCGACCATGCTGGCCAACCTTTTCTCCATGAGGTCCTTCATCAAGGTAGCTGCAACTAACACTGATCCATCTGCGCTCACTGGATTAAGTTCAAAAATAAAGTTGGCCAAGAAACAAAGTCTGAATAAATAATAATGGTTATCCCAGATGAGGCCCGTATGCAGCATCTGGTGAGCGGGTGGTGATGATCTTAAACTTGCACCTTTTTATATTTTTGTATAACCTTCTTTATTTTGTTGTAGATTGAGGAGGATACATGGCAGAAGTATTACCTTGAAGGAGTAGCCAATGAAATGTACACAGAGTACCTGTCCAGTGCCTTTGTGGGTCTGTCCTTCCCAGTAATTTGCGAGTACGTAAAACTAAAACATTTTATTTTACCCCCTTTTTTGGTACTTGTTGTTTTGTCATTCCTGGATGCAAGTAATTTAGATGTTTAAACTGCAGTCATTAGAATTTAAAGATCCAAAGATAATTGTTATGCAAGTATTTAATAACCAGGCTTCTGGAGATGGTAGGTTAAATTAGTTATAGAGAGGAAGCACATGGCGTTCACATAAGGGCTCCATACTTTATAGGCTGTCAAATCCCATATTTATCCCATATTAAAATATTTGAAAGTGTAAACCTAAATCTAAGTGTAAATAATTTAGGGATAAACAGGTTCTCATCCTCTAAAAAGAAAAAAAAAAGAAAGTGGCACCCTAAGCTAAGAAGATTTCAAACTAAAAGTACTTAGTGTGCCTCAGGTCTAATTATATTGTTATTCCCCTTTACAGACTCTGCTATGTGAAGCTAAAGCTGCTGCTGATAGCTATAGAGTACAAGTCTGATCAAGGGGAAAGCAGGTAAGTCGGGGCATTAAAATTCATGCATGCAAAAACTTTAATACGCAGGTGTCAGTATTTGCTTTCAGCTACTGTGAATCAGCTTCCCTGTTTGACTGCAAACACAAGTGCTTTACACAATGTGTCTAAATTGATGTCTAAATGGGTTTATTCACAGACATCACAGGGCTCTCCGATAACATCGTGACAAATTAGTGGGGAAGGTGGCAGTTGGTTTCTTTGAGCACATCAGAAGCTTTGTTTTAGTAGTTTCTCTAACACGCTGATGCTCATTTATACTCTTTGAAGTGCTATCTGCTTTCATCAACTTAATTAAATAAACAGGGGCTATCCTGCCAAATGAGTTGTGAAAACTAATCCCTGCAGCGTGTGCCAGACGCAGTGATTAGTGCAAAGCCTTGCAAATTCTGTGATATAACTTTCTGCTTTGACATCTTTGGTCTACAAATCCTCACAGCACCCTGATAAACCCTGGAAACCACGTGAAAATGCAGGAGGGGACCTTAGGCTTCTTTATTGCCAGCGATGCCAAAGAAGTAAAGAGGTAATGAATGACCTGAGATTCAATCGTTTGATTAAATTCCAGTCTTGTTTCTGCAATAGTGCCTTTGTTGGTCTGCATGTCATACCGTTTCTGTATCTTGAGCTATTACATGTAGGAAAATTGAAAACGCTTGTTTTGTTAGTATCACCTACATGTTGCCAGGGCTTACAAATATACTCACTCACTTTATTAGGAACGCCTTTCTAGTACCAGGTTAGACCCTCTTTTGCCTTCAGAATTCTTCATGGCATAGACTCAACAGGGGACTGGAAACATTCCTCAGAGATTTTGGCCCATGTTGACATGATAGCATCACACAGTTGTTGCAGATTTCTTGGTCACACGTCCATGATGAAATCGTAAGGCAACTTGAGTATATTGAACTCATTGTCTTGTTCAAGAAACCAGTTTGAGATGGTTTGAGCTTCTAATGGCTGCTTGATGCACCTTTGCTGTCACCTTCCAGCTTGAAGGAGTCTGGCCACTCTGATATCTGACATCAACAAAGCATTTTCTCTCAGAGAACTGCCATACACTGGATATTTTCTCCTTTTTGGACCATTCTCTGTAAACCCTAGACTGTGGGAAAATCCCAGTAGGACAGTAAATCCATCCATCTGGGACCAACACCAAGATTCAAAGTCACATTCTCTCCCATTTCTTATGCTCAGTTTGAACTTTAGCAGGGCCAACCATGTCTTCAGGCCTAAATGCATGCAGTTGCTGGCATTTAATTGGCTGATTAGATATTTGCATGAACAGGTGCACCTAACAAATCGGCCAGTAAGTGTATTATTGTATATATTGGCTTTTGTGTTTGCTCTTAGAAAAATGCCATATTTTGCATGTTTAATTGACCAGACTGAAGTGATTTATCAGCGATTCAGGGATCCTTGAGTTGCACTGCTAAGGCCAAAGAGGAATGTTGGCTGTTAGCTTGTATCTGCTCATTGCTTGGACAAAGATAACATTCAAAGACAGATTAAAGGTACATATGGTCGAGGTTGGATGGTGATGTTACCTGCCAGAGGGGATCAGAAGATTTATGAGGGCACAGCATGAGACAAACTGCAGGGCCCTTATGAAAGATCAAAGCTTAATTTAAAACTGGTCCTGAACTTCTCATAGAGCTGCACACTCAACTTTTGGCACATTAAACATTGACAGATGCATTGGATGCTTCATTAATTTTTTGTTAATAAACTGATTGCACACAAATTAAAATGACTTGTTGCAGATGTTGTGCAGCCATAGTAAAGACAAAATATGTGTAAACAATTTATTGAGCACTCATGCTGTTCTTGATTTTCTTCCGCAGGGCACTGTTTTATTGTAAGGCCTGCCACGATGACATAACTGATCCCAAAAGGATAAAGAAATGTGGATGCAAGAAATGTAAGTGTGATTGCATGCAAACACAGGATCTAAGTTAGATTGATCCCATTCATTTTCTTGCTCAGATGAAACTGAAATATAATGAGTTAGCATTCGAGTAGCTGGGTGACAGCGTATTTACATGACCTACTATACATAGCCATTTGTCACAACCACTTATTTCTTACATTAGTTATTCCTTGAAATGAAGCCTTGTAAGTTGTGCATGAAGAAAGGTCAGATTTCTTTCTGCAGCCAAAACAAACTGAAGCACTCCAAGTTTCCCCATGTAGAACTACATGTTTGGATCTCTGTATGAGATGAATACCTGCTCTCATTTAAGGGTCAGTTCCCACAAATTACATGAAAAATGCTTTCCAACTTTCTCATCATGCAAATAGTTTTGGTTTTCCCATGCTGAGGTTTCAGATATCCTTCAAAATGTATGCTTTTTGTGGATTTGGATGAACTGATTCCTTCAGAGTGTTTCAGATAGACGTCTCTTCTAACAGACACACTCATACATAGTGTTTATAGCATGCTATCTTTTCCATGTGATTCCCAGCTCTTATAAATACACATAATAGACCTCTTAGTTCAGTCTAAATGTGCATTTTGTTTGTTTTCTGTGTAGTAGCTGTGTTCGCTGTTGATAACTTTGTGATGTTAACAGGCAATCAGAGACACTGTTAACACCACAGGTACCTGGACGGATCACGTGTTTCTAAAACCTTATAAACATCACGTGCTACATGTTCTTCTGCTTGGATAAACCACAGTTTGTCTCTAGTATTAAAGCTAACACCTAACATTGACATGTGATGTATTCTTTTCCTGCTGCTTGGGAACTTGGCACACATTTCTTTAAAAATCTGCTTAATAGTGATATATTGTGAGTAATGTGGATTTGTTTCCCCTTCAAAAACACAGCGTGCTAGTGTACCTCAGATTAAAGTGACCTGTTTGAATGTACTCTAAATGTTGCATGTACAATGGTTGATGCTGCCTGGATCTCTTGTTGTTGTCATGTGCACGTTGTTTTTTGTTCGTTCTTTTGATAGAATTTTATAGCTTTCAAAAGAAATTCGCAACAGTATAGATTTTGCAAAAAAATTCCAGAGCAGAAGTAGATTTTTTATTTTTTTTTGCTCAAATGTAAACACTGCAGCATTCGTGCCTACTTGAGTTAGTAATTCACCACATCACCACCAGATGGCCCTGCTGCCCTTTATTAAGCACAAGACCCCTGCATAAAGACCACAGTGAGAAACAGACTGGGATGAAGACTGGAAAACCCTTTTCCTTATTACTGTTTTATATTATGGGAAAAAATTGGCATCCATACTAAAGTGACGTAATCCACAGAGATGTGTGCAAACCTTTCTTCCAGCATATCTTTTAGGAGAAATATTTCAGGAAAAAATAGCAAATCTGTCATGGAATATGGATTATCTAACTTATGTGTGCTTTTATGCACTATAAACGCTTTCAAGTGTTTGTTTTTTTGCCTTTCTGTCTTTCCTGAAGGCACTTGCAGGTTTTTCTAGAAGTGATTCAGTTTTTGTAAAATACTAGCACCTTTAATCTTTTGTTTTGGAGATTTCTGTCATCTCCTGTTCTTAATAAGCATTAGTAACAAATGCAAATATTTAAGAGCTGTAAAATGAAATATTATTGTCCTTATATTTCATATGACTCAGTGGCTCTAAGAGAAGAATCCAGGAACCCCCAGAGATCCATGACACATAGCCAAGGTGTCTGCAAAAACAAAATAGCTCTAAATCATCAAATTGTGCATATATAAATGTTTTATTTATTCCAATTAAACATGCATTATGTGTCTTTAACCTCCGCTTATGTTATCCTTGGGCCAAGATTGGCCTTTGTACGACCAAATTTGCCATGATGTTCATGCTTGGCTCATTAGCAAGTTAATTAGTGAACATGGAAAAACATTTCATCACATAGTAAAGTGACACTAAGCCCAAACAAGCTAAATCTGTGTTAGCATTATTAGGATTTTGTTGGGTAAAAGTCTCCAAGAAGTCTGAAA